GACGAAAACCATCAAGTATTGAGGCTCACACGCTCGATTAAAGTTAAGGTTTTAAAACCACTCGAAAATCAGTAAAAACTCAAAATCGAACATTCGAAACTAAAATCTGAGACATAAGGCTACTAAGGTTTTATAGAGGACCTAAAACGAAACCATCCATATAAAGAACTCGAATTTTGGTTGAGTATTTTACCTCCAATCGTCAATAAACGAAGCTTTTCGAACCCTAACTTCTATGAGTTCTTACACTAATTCTTTTGTCCAAAATACTTTGGACCTTATTTACTTTACTTACCATAATACGATCATGCCCTCCCAAAGAGATGTATTTAACATCCATTTATCATTGATATGAAATTCTGAACTCTCCCATTGGCATGACTTTACATGTACCATGCATTTCTATTATACTCATGTTGTTATTTAACTTATACTAGTAACATAAGTGACCATTGCACTTTCATGCATCTAATGCAGAAGTTATGCAGACATAACTTTCATGGTTGGAAATGAAATTACTAAATGTGTCATTACATAATTGAACATTGTTGGAAGTATTCATCAACCATGATGGACGATAGGTAAGCACTACTCATGATACTTTATCGACCATGATAAACAATGCTAATGTCCTTACTGATACTCTGATGCATACTTGATGGATACACTAATAGTTGCTAAAGACATTAATGCTTAAATAACATTCATACTAAATATTGTTGAGGTATTGCATCATAACTTATAGTACATGCTCTACCTTGCCTTGCCATCTCTCTATATGGTAGGGAACACATGTTGCATCACTTACCTCACTAGAAAGATCTCAAACCAATGTTTTTTATACTAATTTGACTTCGTACATAGGCCCTTAGGTATACATTAGTCCTTACCGAATCTCGGAGCTTTCTCTAACTCTGATATCTATCCTTATAATTCGTAATTCGATAAATTCTTATCTTTCTTTGCTTGGACGATAATGAATCCTATTTATCATAATTATTCAATAAAGCTATAACAATATCTCTAGCCAAAGTTTCCCAATTCTAATTAAACATGGGTTTGTAACTATTGTGATATATGTACAAATAAACTTTGAGTCACGGTGGTAATATTTATGAAACTTAAATGCAATTACCATGCTACTAACTCCCAATCATCTGTCGGAATAACATTCTCATGTCCATACAGTTGACTTAACGTGGACCAACTTGCCTCGTTACATCAATACTAAGTCTACTTCGAACTTCAAGTTATCACTGAAAACCACATTGTTTTCTAGTACCTCTGATAACCATCAATTTATATATATATATATATATATATATATTTTAATAATAGTGGATTCAAGTACACGAATGTAACAACTTACTCAAAATGACATTAGCTAAGTGAAATTTTGAATAGGTTATACATAAGGGTTCTCAATCACCATCATCACAGTTCATGAATTATGCGACTCTAATGACTCTAAAATTCCCTTATCTTAAATGTTCTACCCATAACTCACCAATTAGCGCTTAAAATCTCAGCTTAAGTCTAGGCATCTTAGTTCCTTACCTAGTTCGCTTAAACTAGAGCTCTGATACCAACTTGTAACACCCTAAAAAAAAGATAGTCTAAACCGAAAATATCTAATGAGAACCAGAATCTTAGACAAAAAAAATTTTCGCCCAACAAAAATAATAGTATAGCGTTTACAATTTCGCTACTGAGAAGATAAATAACAATCTACTAATCTAGATTTTTCTAGATTAAAGACGGGTATTTCTATCAATCTCCAAAATGCCGTAACAACAAAAACGCAACGTACAAAAGTAATAAGACTATAATTACAAAAGAGTCCTTCACGAACCAACGCTCCTCTCAACCCTTTAGAGCCCCACCGATAAAAGCAACCTAAAAAGTAATTATAACAAGAAAGAGAGAGGGTTAGGCTTACGCCTAGTGAGTCCAAACAAAAMAAGTTTACGTAAACATARARGAACATATATAAAAATATACATGCAAATAGTTGACGTAACTTTAAACAGGAATAGAGACAGTAAGGCCTGAATGACTCGAAGTGGAACAATAAAACATCCGAAGATGACGGGGGAGAGCCGATTTACCGTTGATTATGACGGACACAAAGTAAGTCATAAATCAACGTTATAGAGYATCACTTACAGGTTTAATACCATCGACATYGACCTAAACCAGTCATGTAGTCGGCCGTGATCTTAARCTCTTTACCTCGRTAATTACACAATAATYACAATGCCTATTACCGAGTGAAAGTGAGATGATGATTTGGTGATTAMATAATAATCGCAATGCCTATCACCAACTTACACCATCATTCCCACGAATAAAAATAAAACGACATTCGTGTCTATAATTCCATCACCTTYTAGTRGCATACCCAAAACTCAACGTTTTTAGYATAAACACATATATACATTACTAAGAYTTTGCATAAAACCCTTAGTMCAATGGAGTACTCCCATTYRCCAATGCCATTTCGAATATAGAACGTATGGGTGTTAGTGTCTTATGGTCAACACTATATGAAGTGGGTGTTTTACMAAACGATTATACCTTTTCCCCAATTCATCTATTCAATATGGGYGGAATCCTTAAGTTAGTTCTTSATTTAAAGAGGTCTTCATTTCCAATCAAGCAAGTGACTTCAGCTACCTAAAGTTCGAGATATGCCTAATGCAACTTACCAAATATTGTAAAGTTTCATTTGTGTAAGGTTTCAATATTAAGGTAGAATGAACTCACAAAGTAGGATTTGGGAGAAATCCTAAACTCTGGATCGTTGTTAGCTGCTGCAGAAACACGTGGCGTAGTGAGGTCGCTGTTCGGGCAAGGAGGGCGAAGGGAACAGCACGACACGCTGCTGTTCGGGCGAAACGGATGAAGAAATAGCACGGCAGTTGTTGTTTGGGCGACCGAAAAACGCAGAAAACTCACAGTAAGGCTGCTGTTCATTCTTGCCGTTTGCTGTCGGTGAAGGAAGAAAACATAGAGATAGCACAGCAAAGCCGCTGTCCGTTCTCGCTGCTTGCTGCTTGAAATGGTCTCAACCGATCGCGATCTCGGGCCTAGAGTCCCAACAATCTTCGTCATGGCAGGAAAGAAGCTAGGTTTAGAAGGCTCGAGAATCGAAGCCATTCGGATAGGTTCTTCAAGAAGCAAGTGATGCGAATGCATTTTCTGCAATAAATTTACTACTACCACTAAGCTCTTTTTCAAACTCAAAAATTATGAGTGTGATGATATGCAGTATTGAGCTTCTAGAGGGAGGACCGTCATCGATTGATATCCAGATCACCAAAAACAGGAGATAAAAGCTGATGCAATTTTCAGGTCTGAAATGGCCGAATCTAAAGTAAAATACAAATTTTCAGCACAAGGTACCAAGATTACAGCGTTGTTGCTTTGATTTTAATATTATTAGCTTCTTTTGATAAATAAAAAAAGAAAAAAAAAGGTTAAGGACATGTATGGATGGGAAGGAACTTTTCCCAAGATAAAGGAGGTCCATTAGGTACAACCAAAGTCAACAGTTACCCCCTATTCTCCCTATTTTTTTAAAAAAATAAAACAAAGATGACTAGGTAAAAAGAAGTTATAAACTCCCAATATGGGTTTTTAAAAAAAAAAATTCATATATATATAAATGAAATAAAAACCCCGGTGTTACAACACGTGAATATGACGAATGGTGGTGTCTCGTTCACAAGTTCATGCAACCCAAAACTGAAAGACATGATGTATAATATCTCATTCACATGTGCATTCAACGAGATAATTGGACGTTGAATATGGTGATCCACATGTGCATGCATATCATAAATTGAAAAATGATGAATTCGATAATTAATTCACATGTGCATTTTACCCAGAAAATGAAGAATGACGAATATGACGACTCATTCACATGTGCATGCAGCATAGAAATCTAAAGATGAGGAATATAGTGATTCATTTACATGTGCATATAGCGTAGAAATTTGAAGATGATGAATTAGTTGGAAATTTCCTTAGATTATTTAGTAGATCTTTTTGTAAATTGTGGAATATTTTTGTAGAATTTTTAGAGGATAATTGAAGTTTACATAAATTGTGTTAAATTTTCTTTATTTAAAGAATTTTAATAAATGGAAATGATTATCCATTAATGAATATACCATTTTGTCCTTTATGCATTTAATAAATTGTTTAATTAGCTATTTTTAATAATCGTGGATTATAGTCAATCAAGGTGTTCTCGATTTTTTGTACGATTTTCTTTTAAGCCTGACCCCCCACACATATATATACACATACATACATACATATATATATATACATACATACACACACACATATACATACATACATATTATCAAACATGTCTCATTGACTTTTTTTTAATTAATATACTCCACGCCCACCAAACATAATAATGCAATGTAATGTAATGATCCATTTCGTTATTTCACCTATTTAATCATCTTATTTATCCAATTAATTTGTCATTTAAAGCAAAATTAGACCACTAGAACGCCACTTGTACACATCTACAAAACGCATATACGGAAATTAAAAAAAAACAATTTTGTTTGTTTAAAAAAAGCTTGAGTATAAAAACATATTTGTTGCATATGATACCGTTTTAATATATTACAATCTTATCTGGTAAAATAGATTATAGTATTGATTTCTACTGGTAAGTATTTACCGGATAAGTATTTGGGTGAATGACCCCTTAAATTATACCCAAATATTTCATTTGGATAACTAATTTCACCATTCCCCTTATTATATTTAGTCACTTGACTTTTATCTAACATAATAAATCAAATGCTTAACAAAATGAAACACATTTTTGACTTTAACATGTTCGATGTTGAACGATTAATCAATGAAATTGTTGACGTTTTAGGTACAAATACCAAAACATTAGATTCTAGTAATTTAACTAACTGATATTTAATAATATATTTAGATATTAAGGGAAATTAAAAACCATGAAAACCATGTGTCACATATGAAACAATACATATAAGACATATAACGCTGTTTTGTGTATGAAACAGACAAGCGTTTCACATGTGAAAAAAAGCATGTACGTAGTTTTGTATATGAAACATAGAGAACGCAGACAAATACAAGAGCAAAACATGTAGAACACATCTAATCCTATCCTGAAACGAAACTTAGTGGGTGTTTGGTTTGATAAAACGTTTTTAAAAAATTTGAATTTCGTGAAAGGATTTGAAATCTTTGGTGTTTGGTTTGTTGGATACGGGATGTAATTAATTAATAAATAGGAACTATAAAAAATAACTAACTTGCCTCTAATAAATGACTATTACAAAATAACCGTCTTTAACATATTTTAAAACATTATTACAACCAAACCTTATAAAATCCATGGAAATACCAATCAGTTAGAGCCATTGAGATTACATTATATTATATTTTTGAAATTCAATTATTATTTATAGTTGTAAAAAATTTACTATTTATTTTGTATATCAAAATTAATATACAATCAGTTTTTCATAATTTTTTTAATTAACCTAGATATCCAACCCGTTATGCGAGCTGACTAATCTCATTTGAATTTGAGATAGCCGGAAGTCACCTTATTTGAACCTCCATGGCCACAAGAGGATTTTTATCTCTTATTATATTTGAATCTGAGACCTCCTGATACTTTTAATTTTTAGAGCCAAACTCAAACCAACCAGACGCCATTTAGTTTTTCATAATTACAAACTAATTGTATATTATTATTTTTTGTAATCATTAGGAAGTTGATCAAATGGTTGCTGTCGGGGAAAGAAGTCGGCCGTCGCATTTCATAAATATGCGACAAAAAACGGTAACCACCAAAGAAAAGAATAAATAAACAACTAAGCAACGGAAAAAAGTCAATGTCGCTTCACGCGTATTTGATTTATTCTTTTCTGAAAACACAATACATGTATTCATCCTCCGAGCATATCTCCTTCCTGTTTGACGCTGCTTATCAACTCTACGCTTCCTCCAAATTCACCCCCAATAACCACAATCTCTGACTCTCTGTGTGTTTGTTGCTCTTTTTCATAGGATACTTGAAGCATAATTTGATTCATAAGTTTGAAGTTTATAGATACTACTTTATCTTACTAGGCTTGAATTTTAGGAGAATTTTTGTTGTTGTTAGTTGGATTTATCGAATTTTGGTAGAATGGAGCCAAAGCAACATGTGAGGTTTACATTGGGGAAACAGTCGTCGATGGCGCCGAATACGGGTTCGTGTTCGGATTCGGATGATGGATTGGAGGCGATTGATCCTAGGGTTAGGTTGATGTTTTTCTCGAGTGAGGGTGATTTGGAAGGGATTAAGAAGCTGTTGGATTCAGGAACTGATGTTAATTTTAAAGATATTGATAATCGGACGGCTTTGCATGTGGCAGCTTGTCAAGGGTTTAGTGATGTTGCTGAGTTGTTGCTGGAAGGCGGTGCTGAAGTTGACCCGCAAGATAGATGGGGTAGCACGGTATGATTTTCTAACTTCCCCAATTCTTTTTTTGCAACCAGTGTTTTGTGATTGTGGCCCAATTTGAGCTGGTTCCATATTAATCCATAACACGGACAGCCAGGCAGCACATATTCTTTTTTTTGCAATTGTCTCTTTTCTAAAAACTAGAAGACCATATACATGAAGCTAGTAAAAATTGGCTAAATGTTGAACTATAGATAAGTAGACTCACCAATTCACCATCCTCTTGTCATTGTTTTCCATGTATTCTATTATATGTCAGGCTCCAACTTCACAGGGTTGGTTGCTATGTTAAATCTGACCCAACTCAAACCGCATCGGATGGATTGGGTTGGTTATGCTTTAATATTTTTTTGAACCGGTTGAGATTTTTCAAACCCCACTAGTTGGGTTGGGTTGGGTTGTTAAATGTGGCTGAACCAGCCAACCCAACCCTTGTGCACTGCTAATCTTAGAGGCGGACACCAATAATACTCATCTTCTTTTAATTTTACCGGATAACGTCAGATTGTAAGTGCATTTATGCTTCCATACTTCCAAAGAGAAGTTTAAAGTCTCATACTTGTTATGTGCTTTTTCTGTCAACTGTTGTCCTTGATTCTAGTTTTATTTTGTCTCTGGATGATAACTTGTGTTGTCTGTTGTTTTCTTAATCTGATGTTGCTTTAACAGCCTCTTGCAGATGCAATCCATTATAAGCACCATGGCGTGGTCAAACTTTTGGAGAAACATGGTGCCAAACATCTGGCAAGTTTTTCTTTTTGTGTGTCATGCTAACTTCTTCTCTGTTGGTTGTGTATTGGTTTTCTCTCTTTCCTGGCTCCCGTATGATGTGTGTGTGTGCATTTATATATTGATGTTCTTCTAAATGTTCCTTTTGTTTTTTGTTCTTAATAATGCAAATACTTAGATGGCTCCCATGCATGTCAAAAATGCCCGTGAAGTTCCAGAGTATGAAATTGATGCCAAAGAACTTGATTTCACAGATAGCGTTGACATTACTAAGGTAAATCATCTATGATTTATTTCATTCTGTGTAATTGGCCTCTCTCTCTGTGTCTATATATATATACACACACACACATCTCACACACATGTGTGTCGTGCACACATTTATGATCGATATATTTCAGCTGGGCCTGTTTCCGGCATTCAATACCGCTTCTAGTGCACTAATGGACAATTATGACCCAATTTCTGATGTTCTGTTCTTTCCACTCTAGCACCCCTCATTTTTATTCTTTTACTATGCCTTTGTTGTCAATGCCTTAACTTCATCTCCTCATGTAAGTACATGCGACATATGATCCCCTCTTTTGCCAATTCGTTGCGGCTAGCTGTATATGTGAATCTCCCTAGAACTTGGTTTTTTTGTTAGCAGCACTCCTTTTTTACTTTGCTCTATGTATGAAGGCGGCCTGTTCTATTTGATTGAAATAAATTTCAGACAAAGAATACAAATAAAAATGGGCATACCATTAATCCTTGTAATTGTCAATATGACAAGCACATCCTCGATGCTTAACCACTGGGTGCCACCTGCTTGGTCATGGGCCTGTTGACTGTTAAAGTGATTGAGCAAAAGCGAGGATCTCATATTGCTATAAGGGAATACCGTCTTCTTACTAAAACTTAGGCAGGCATTAGCACTTTCAGCACTTTAAATAGCCAGACTACAAGTACCAAAGTAGTTTCAGTCGCATGGTAAGAATTTTTGTAAATATATTTTCTCAAAGCTATCTTCATTATTATGTTCTTTTGGCATGTTTATTATATTCACCTGCATTACATGGCTCTTTCTCTTGATTATTATCTTTTGATTAATTTGCAATCTGGTTTCTGTGGTCCCTAATATGCTATCCAAGGTACTTAAGGATGCTTCACTGAATTGTCACTGTCAATAATGTAATTGGTCCTGTGTGATCTGATTATGCAACTTGCAAAAGGCTTGGTGATGACTTGACTGTAAATTAAATTATGTATTGGTAAGATCACAGTCACAGGAACATGCACATGCCAGTGTCGACCAAGTAATAACCCGATAAAACAAATTAATATACTCCATTTCCTGCACATCTCTCTATCTAGAGAGACAGAGACATTAGCTTGACTTTTCTGTATTGATCTCTTGCTTTGTTGCATGTGCGTCTTACACGAAATATCTTATAAATGATCTATATTTTTACAAAGGTGATTTGCTCCTAACTTTGTGCTGTCTGGTTTATTCATAATTTTTGATTTGCTGGAGACAGTGCTTAGATATGTTCTAGTACGAATTAACTATTTGTCATCGAGTGTCTGGCCCATAAAAGGAATGAAAGAAGCAAGGATTCTTTTCAATGAATTAGAAATTGTATGGAGCCTAAAACAAATTCAAGAGATCCTTGAGAACTTCCAAGAGTCCATCCATTGATTCTCCTCACCTTTATAGAAATTTAAAATCCTAGCATTAAGTGTCCATGTACCGCTTTAATTAGCAAATAATCCTTGAATTATCCATCACAAGAAATTAAGCAGCTGTTGATAGACTTGTTTGAATTTGTCTTCATGTCAAAAGTCTTAGTTTGGAGGTAATCTTTCAAATCCTTATGTGTAGTGTATCAATGGAACAAATAAATTAGTCATTTATGAAAGTAATGTATCAAAACTATATTGTATTAAATTTCAATTCTTTTAAGTTCACATAATCTACAAATAGCTACATTTAAAATTGAACCTCTTATGTTTTACAACTTTACTTAATCTACAAAAGCTATGTACAAGGTGCTGCTTAGCGATTAAGAGTTTGAAGGTCAATTGTTTGCTAGCCCTGCCAAATGCTTTTTAGAATACTGGTTGGCCCCTTTTGTAAAGTAATGTGAGAGAGATTCATAGAGGAAAAGTTGTGCTGAAAAAGCTTCCATGGACTATAAATTTTACATAATGATTTCAGAGTGATGTTTTTGCATATCAAAGCTCTGTCCGGTACTTTATTGTGGGAGAGCATGTAAATAGGAATTCCGCATCTGAAAGTTTCCGAGCAACACTATTAACCTTTCCTCTTGGAATGTGAAGAATTGGGTGATCAGTCTTTTTATTTGTCAACTATCTACCACATAGCATGAAATGGAACACATGCCTATTATTACCCTTTATGTTACACAAATCAGATGGAAATCATCTTGGTCACTGAGGGGCCATTTACCATGCGCTTACCAGATAAGCCCTTATTGGAAAGCCCCACCACCCTCACTTACCTTATCATGTAACTTTTTTGCCATCATAATGGATTGTTGGTAAGCGCTAACTGGGTAAGAGCTATGCCTCATACCGGGTAAGAGCTGTGCCTCATACGGGGTAATATTCTTGGTCTTTGCCATGCTCACCCGGTAGGATAAGTGACACCCGGTAAACGCTTACCCGGTAAGAGTTCGGTAAACGGCCCCTTAGTTGGCACATGACTTGATATCATACGCTATGCTGTTATAGCGGTGAAAATACAAAATTACGGTCAAGACCGATATTTGAAATAGCGGTTATTACGGTGGTATTATGGTCCAAAAATAGCGACTCATATCATATTTCGTAGAATTATATATAATATATATATATATGTATGCATATATAAACATATCATTTGTAAAAATTAAAAATATAGTTC